TATAAAAAATGAGATATTTGATGTTACAGGCTATTTAAACTCTAGCAAAACTGGTTTAGGGTATTTTTAATGTGAAAAAACTATTTTCCCAACGTACCAATGCAATGCCGATGTGAATGGTGGCCATTGAATAACTCAAGCACTAACAATCCAAATCAGTGCTTTCCTTAATTCATTTGGTTATTTTGATAATGATGAAAAACGACGAGTAAAGTTGATGGAAATAAAAGACTTCCATTATATTTTTGCTATAATGTTAAGCAAGTGGAAATTTATTTAGGAAGGAACAGCAAAAAACTGAATTGTTCTTAACTGTTAGCCACAACCAATTCCAAAATGACTGGTAGCAAACATTTGAATTCATCCTGGTCAATCTTTCCAAGGTCTTTATTTATTTTATTTTATTTTTTATCAATAACGACTTCTAACTCACTAATGGTGTCATGATGACGCCAAAACATCCACTATTAACTTTAATATTTCCTTATTCATTTTTTTAATAACTTATTTTTATTTGCTCTTACCAATAGGAAATATAATTACAATACATGTACAGTACAAGAAAAAAATTCCAATACAGTATAAAAACTAAAAAATAGGCAGTCAAGGACTGCATGTGGCTACTGCTGTTATTATTTAGAACACTGCAGAAACATAAATCATACTCCAATAAAATGAGCTAAATACGAAAACGTTTTTGGACTCGTGGCTTATTAATAACAGGCGACTTCTTTCTTACACCGTGCAAAATATGTCTCCAAATTTATAATGATAAGACTTTCAGTAACTTGAATTAAATACCTTACCTCCAAGTTGGCTTTCTAGTTACATCATGTGGAATTTTGGAGGCAAATTGTGCAGGAAAAAACTTCGATTGTGCGGGGAATAGTGTGGGATGATTGACAAACCAAATTTCAATTTCAAGTGTTCTTGCCAAGTCCTAAGGAAATTCTGCATTGATGATAGTTTAACCAAATTTATTTCACTTATCTAGTAGTTCAAATAGCAATCGCCGATTGCTTTAGTAAACTGTGTCTGACTGCTAAAAAAAAATCATGTTGCATGACAGGAACTCGTTGCATATGAAGCCAAAATAGCAAAACAGAATGTCACATCTTCCATAACCAGTTAGTTCATTTTTAAAAATACTCCTGCCTTGATGCAATAAAAATAGGTAGCTTGAATATTTCTTCATAAAGTGCGTAAAGGTTTGCAAATTCTCAGAAGTTACCCACTAAAAACACAACTTGAAAGTACTTGAAAGTTAATGCAAATTATGTGCAAATGTAATTTGACACCTTGTCATTTGACTGTTGTTTCATGACCCAAGGTTGGGTTTATATGCCTTCTGAAGGAGTTTATTATTCACTCCCCAAAGAGAACTTTAGCTCTCTCAAAAGAGATCATTCACTCTCCAAAGGAGATATTACTCTTGAAAAGGGTTTAAGATCGCAAAGCAGTCAATTGCCACAACTATTAAACAAAAGCTTTGATGGAGCTATACGATTTCTGTTAGCATGTATAATGTAATTGCCATAAGTTGTAAAAATACCTGGAAAATTCTTTGCAAACAAGTTCTCCATAAATGCGTTAAGATAGCTGTGTTTGAATCTTCAACCAAAATGGTTTAAACTCATTGTAACAAAGAACCCACTTTTTAGATGACGGAATCAAACTAGTTGTGAGCTATCAGAGTCCAAGTGGCGTTAAAGCACAACCACATGGAAAGACACTTAGATCAATAAGAGGTCAATGAGGGATGGACGATGCTCTGATTGGCCACCAACACTATCCGAGGATTAGTTGCTTACGGACGCACACTGATTGGCTACAAAAACTATCAGAAGATTAGGGCTACACGAATGGGCAATGAAAACTATCCAAAGATTAGGGTTAAGGATGGACTTACTTACACAGATGAATACATTAGTGGCTAGTCGCCAAAAAGATACTACATAACTACATTACACTTATATACTATAACAAAAGGTAAAAAAAAACATTGCAAAGCTATATTAACATTCATTTACCACACAGCATTAAGCAAGCCCCAAGGGCCGCCACGCGGAGCCCCATACCCATATGGGAAAAGAAAAGGCAACCCATGAATAGATTTTCTCATGGTTATCATGGCTAGTGGTATTGCTCGTGAACGCGTACGCACAACAACAATGACGGAGTCATACAAGATTGCGGCCATACTCCAGCTAAACTGTTGACAGAAACATAAAGCCTTGATTTATAGCCTCTTTCTTTGATATTGGACATCCATGATATCGTCGATTGACACCTGTCACAACAAGGTGTCAGTTGACTAGTATCACATGACCATATCGCGGGCTCAAGTTTAGAGCTCATCGAGGTTGTGTGTTTTTTTTAAAGTTGACTGCTGACCAAGTGCTGGTTTCCTATTGGATCGCAGGTTCATGTCAGGTTACTTGTAAACGAGGCAGGGTTGTTTGGAAGCCGGTTAACGCTAACTCAGGATTAAAGTTAACAGAAGTGTAAATAGTTCTTGTATACAAATGTTTTTCACTACTTTTGTTTCGTGTATTTTGAGATTATCCAAACTCCAAACAGAGCACCAAACAACATAGAGAAAACCTCATTGGAAAGTTACAAAATTAAGATCAAAATTCTCACTTAAGGACATTCACATGAAAATTTTCCATTCAATATATTTTGTTAAATTTTTACTGCAGTCAAATAATTGTGCGAGTTACTTGTGTCAGAAATGCAAAAAAAAATGGGGGTCACCCATTTCGTTTCGGAGCTAAAACATGTAGAAAACTACCCTGATTTAGAAAAATTGGTGCACATAATTGAGAATAGTTACAGGGGTTTATGGCTAAAAATATCAAAGGAGAGTCTTAGTCATATTTTGTAGAAGTGGGTCTGTTGCCCAAATAATTCCAAGTGTTACCAACTTAGCCCTTCAAGAGGCCTTTGAAAACGTCGCACAGATAAACAAAGAGCTAAAAGGAACAGAATTCGATGGTGCATTTTGCAAAACTTCTAGTCGATGGGTTTTCTTAATTTTTTTTGCTAAACGGAGACAATCAGTAGAGAAAATTATTCATCAATAGAAAAATAGGGGTCACCAAACGTGCAAGATTGTTAAATCCAAGAAAAGCTAAGGACATGGCCATGACTGCCCTATCAATGTTCATTTTATTACTTAGTGTGCGCGCTCATGCATGACGTGGCAGGTGAATTTGTGTGCGCAGTAAGGATGCACAGAAACAATTAGCGCGAACATCCTTAACCTGGGTTATCTCAATCGGGCTTTGAACAACCTGGCCCAGGAGCTCCACTTTTGGGCTTGGCTAAATCTATATATTAACTCATGACCAATGGAATACATCAATTTTCTGTGGTCTCTGTGGTTGAAGATCTCACTCACGATTGGTCATAACACAACAAACATTCCAGACATATTTTGGGTGTTTACAGTTTTCTGAGTTTGACTGTAACTACAGTTTTCAAAGACCCACTAGTGAGGTCTACAATTTCTGTCTGACATAAATTTTGTTCACACATGCAAGCAAACCTAATAAGAGGTGAGAACAAATTTCATCACTGGAATCCCATCTGCTCTACAGACATCCACTACACCCTACACCCTAGTGTCTATTTATCTAGTAAGCCACCTAACATTAAAACACATATTAAACAATTAACACTTAATGACTGGTCCCGAGGGGAACAGTGAATTTTGTTTACTGAGAATCTCAATGTTTCCCAAGATGAAGTTGAGGGAAACATTGAGATTTGAGGGAAACAAAATTCGCTGTTCCCCAAGTGACCAGTCATTAAGTGATTTGTTATATGGCAAAACAAATGGGTCAAACCAGTGGAAAACAAATAATCACTTTATTGTCAAATGGCGTGCAACAGCGGTCAACATTTTGCGGGTAACAGTAAACTGTTTCCTGTTTGACATCATAGTTTTGGCAATATTGCCCGTTAATGGCATTTGGCAGGAAAAAGTTTCATTGTTAAATGTCATGTGACCATGAACTAGCCAATGAATGGGCACGCTGTAGTGGTAAAAGCGCCAGCTATATAACAACATAGATTATTTCATTGCCTGGTATGTTTTACTCACTTTTCTGTAGATCTTGAGACTTTTGAACCCTGTGCAATGTCAGCACTTTGGGCATTTTCCATGTGCTCTAATAACACAAAGAAATGAATGACAAAATTAGATCATAGCAGTAGTTATCAGCAGAAATACAGAGAGTTAAACATTAATTAATAATTATAATCCATCAAATATTTTAATCCCTCGTGCACGATTGGTTTAAACACGTCACACGACTGAGTATTATCCAGCTAAAACTAGAGAATATCCGAGTGATATTCCCCAATTTTCAAAACCGTGCATGTTGCGAAAAATATTTGAAGAATGATAAACAAAATAGCCTCCATTTGGCCCAAAAATATGCTTGGATATTTGTCCTCCGATGTTATCTGTTCCTGAAAGCTCATAGTTTTCCTCAAGCTATGCTGTCTGAAAACTGTTCACTTGTTGGAACAGATAATGCCCGCAGACAAATATGCGAACATACTTCCGTGCCAAATGGAGGCTACTGTTTATTCATCCCACAGAAAATTCCAAGGGAGTGGAAGCTAAGTTAAGGTGGATGGCAACAGTTTACAGCACTTCCAAAGACTTATGATTTTGATGGGTCATTCTAACTACTCTTTATCAGTTGATGCTACAATCATGGTATCAAAAAACTACCCAATGATCGGTGAACACATCATTATCATTTTTGGGACAAAAAGAGGCTACCATAGCAACAGCATGACTCGCAAAACCACTCTTAATTTTAGCTTTAAGTGTTTATAACTCAAAAATGAGTTTGGTGACCTCCATTTTTATTATCAAATTTGTGTTAAGCATGATAACATGCAACCTTTTACAAAGTTTCAAAAAATTCTGTATTGTAGATTCAGAACCACCTTAAATTTTTGAACATTAAAGGTGGCTCTGAACTCACAATACAGAATTTTTTTAAACTTTGCATCTTATGCTTATCACAAATTCGATAATAAAAAATGGGGGTCACTAAAGTCGTTGTTGTGTTATAAGCACTTAAATCTAAAATTAAGGGTGTTTTTGACAAGTTACACCATTGCTATGGTAACCTATTATGCCAATAAAATTACCATTATTGGTTTACCAATGGCTAGGCATGTACATTATACCAATATTGTCAGTAGTATCTCTTGACAAACAGAGGTAGTATTCATCCATCAAAGTATAGCTGTTGGAAAAGTGTAGGAAACTGTTGCCAGCCTCCTCGTCTTAAAGTCAAATAATTTCCACTAAAGTGGGACCAGAGTGAGAGAGAGGGGAGGGAAAAGGGTGCAGTGGTTCAAATTAAGACCTTCTTTGAGGCAGCTAAAATACTTTCTGGACCACCATGAGAGTAATCATATAAACTCCATGCAAATGAAAATTTTGCAAGTCTAGTGCAAATTTAGGGCAACATTAACCCATTAACAATTTAGTTGCTTGATGATACACAATAAACAACAACACAATCTTTGGCAGTAAATGGGACTACAGGTTGTTGGGTACACCCTAGCGTAAATTGGGGGTAGCAGCAACACACCCTGCCATGTACAAGCAACAAGGGTGGCAGCAACACACCCTAAAATAATAGGTAGTGCAATAAGGGTGGCAGCAACACACCCCAGTAATACTAAATATGCAATGAGGGTGGCAGCAACACACCCTGAAATGAGTAATGAAATAACAGTGGCAACAACACACCCTGCAATGTAAAGGATGAGCCAACAAGTGAGGCATGTGCCCCACCCGGGGTAAGTGAAGCTAAGGTGGGATAAGAGCCCCACCCAGTCTGCTACATCATTGCGAATGGAAGTGGAAGGTGTGCACTCAAGCTTTATTTGAACATAGGGAAGGGTAAAGTGGGTAAGAGAGACAACGCTAATGCCTGGTAAACTATGAGTGAGCGCAATACAACGAGTGCAAGCAATGAAGAACAAAGGAACACGCAACTTACATCTAATGGATTTAGGCGTAACCTGGTATTGATTACAGTTTACTAACAAAGCAGACTTGTTTGTAGAGATACTGGAGACCTAAAGGTCAGTTCATGTGTACATTATGAACAAAGCAGATATTACAATAAAGGCAATGTCACCCAATGTCCTTTGTCCTGGAGGCAAATGTTTATAGCTGCTTTCTTGTTCTGATAACAGAGGTAGTGCAGAGGTCATAGTAAGCTCCAACTAGTTAACTCTATTTTACAAGTAAAATGCTAAGTTCAAGATGCCTGTGTCGGCTGTAACTGGCCGTAACCAGCCCTGACGAGCGTTGGCCTTTGTTCCACTTCTGACGTCATTACCTTTGACCAAAATTGGCATCATCTATACCCAGATCAGGGTTATCAGCTCAGTGGAGCCTAAAATAAGCATGAAAATGCTCAGAAATTTGAGTGAAGAACTCGGAGCAAAATTTCCTGCAACTACACTTAGCTACTACAAGGTAAAAATTGCCTGTCTTGATGATGCTTTCTCAGAAATTTTTGAACTGGAAGCAAGCACGTTAGAAAGTCAATTACTGCAGCAAAAAGATAAGAAAGAAGAAGAAGGATGGGCAAAAAAAAAATTATTAAAAAAACCCCAAAAGCCTAAGGATATAGGTCACTTTCTTATCCATGAACCATCTCGAAATTTTGATCTCTGTACATGCCCACGTGAAAATGTCATAAAATGTGGTGCTAGTGGAAAGAAGGGCATGCTGTCATGTTGCAAATGCCTTTTTGAGTAGACTAGAGCTAATTTGGCTCATATCTGGGCTGAAAATCTCCAAAATGTGTGGTCCACTGGTCAGCAAATTAACCAACAAAACTTGTCAGCAGATTAATGCCAAAAAGTTTATGATAGTATGGGACTGGTCAAGTGTGATTGCCTTCGCTTGCGATACTCCTATTTTGCATAATATACAAAATAGCCATTAAATGGAAACCTACTGTGTAGCCACCATCCAAATGTAAATCCTATGGGCAATAATTGAAGATATCTACACTAGTCACATGGTTTACATGTGCACAACAATCTACTTGTAACTTGTACAAGAACAATTGCTGATATTTGTTCATTTTATTTTTTTGAGTTGGTGGAACATGCTGGAAAGATAAAGTTCAATACTGTGCAGCTTACTACCATGGATCTAAAGCAGCTGTATACCAGTATATATATGTAAAAAGCAAAACTGTGATTCCGCAGAAAAGGGTCCCAGCATTGATGTCCCTGCCTCAAGTTACCAAAGTTAACAATTGAAACTTCATTGATCTGTAATTGCTGTGGCTCAGAAATCATTGACACCAGAAATATTAATTTTATGGAATGTCATCGTGTAGGCATGAGAAACCTACCCAAAGAATTCAGGGATTTTTATTCACACCATGAAATGCAGCAATAAATACACCTGTTTACCTGGCTCTACAGTACAATGGAATCATATTTCCTTTTCTGTACTGACAGACCTGGCTGCAAAAGGCCTCCTCTGGTATTAGCTGCCCCTGTTATTAAATCCACCCATGGTAACTGTGTTAGAGCTTTAAGTTTTTGTGTAGCCACTAAAGCTGAACCTAAACAAAAAAATCAGCTATCATTAAATTTACACAGACATTTGTCAAGATGAGTACACTTATAAACAATGCTGAAAAAAGAAACAAGCAACCAGACTTGTATGATTAAATTAATGCACCACAAGATACAACTCCAAAACATGTGGTCACAATGATTAAAACATACAAAATAATATAATATTCATTTGACATAATGATGCATAATCAAGCCTGGTCTTTTATGTGGTAGTCATCCTATGACTAATTAGAAAGCCACAGTGTTATTCTTTCTTCTTTTTACCTTGATTCTCACAATAAAATCATTACATAAATACGAAAGGCTTTTCCTTGCCTTGTGCCACTGAAGACTGCATGCTTTGTTTTGATGAACTCCCCCACATTGTTGCTTTACCGCCCAGATCTGTGTGGTAATGGTGCTGAACAGGGTTTGCCATACTATCTTCATTTACTGATTGTTGTGAGGGTACCCCCTCCAGTTGCAAACTGCTTTTTTGAGTTGATGTTGCTAATGAACTGAATCCATGCTGCATACGTTGGAATGTCAAATTTTCTGTGGCACTCTGACCACAGCCTTGAATTCCACGTAATGCAACTGAAGAAGTTCCATTTTCTTGGTTCCTTGAAGGTGACGTAAAGGTACTGTGTTGTAAAAGGTTTTCCCAACCAGTCAATTTCCCAGCAAACCTACCTTGCTCCAAAGATTGCTGTGAACCTCTATGTAAGACTTCCGTGCCTCTGTTCACACATGTATTGTAAGTTGGTGGTCCTGAGAGGTCCCCCTGTCTTGTTTTGACCAACAGAGGTTGCATCTGTTGACTAAGAACATTCTGTGGTGCTGTGGCAGCTTCTGAAACTGTACCTTAAAAAAAAATGGAGGTCCTAAAGTGAATAAATCTCTCTTCCATTGCAACCCAACAAACGTTTTAACTGTTACCTAATTATCAACTTGAACCTGACAAAGGTAAATTAACTGCTGCTGGGTTCCAAGTCCATATTATTAAAGCTGAAACTACAAGCATGAGTCTTTCATCACAGCAAAGCCGAGGATTATTATTGTGGGTTATTATGTTTATGATGTCTATATAAGTAGAGAAGGGAGTTATGCTATCAAAGGAAGTGTGGTGACAAAAAAAGCATAAATTAATAAATTATTATTTATTAGAAGGACAATGACAATATTATTTCATTGATCCCATGGAAACCCAAGGTACCAAGTTGAAAGATAAGTTTCTGTTCTGAATATTTGCAAATTTCAGTATTGTTTTGATGAAGTGAAATCCCTAAGTAAGCAATCAAGTTTTTCAAAATATTCCAAGATATGAAGTTTAGGGGCATCTTTGTTGTTGTTTTTAAGTGATCTGCCAGGCTTCCTCCTGAATCACCAATGTTAACCATTTTGCAAGTTATGCTGCAGAAGATTATTCTGGCATGACAGCCAGCAATGCTCTTAAAACTGGCCACTCTACTCTCTTACACAGTAAACCTATTTCAAACTGAATTTACCAGTTACATTTCTTCAGAAGAACTATTACTACTTTTAAAACATCTCACTATTAATTATGTAATAAGGCCACAAGGTACAGTGTAACATATCTTACCTGAAGGTGGCATTTGTGACTCATTAGATTCACAACTTCCCTTTAATAAAAAAAAAATTGTACTTGCCTAATTACTAAATCAAAAGTTGTCTGAGTTTTCACTCAAGAAGCAAGGTCTGATCTGTTGCATAAACAATTTCACAGGGGTTTCATTAAATGTTTTTAGCAGGAGGGACATTGGTTTTCACATGCAGGAAAAACTTTCTTAGTCCTTGCTGGCTAAGGGTCTAATTGTTTTTGTATCACCCAACTAGTCGGACAGAAAAGGCAATAATAAAGTTAGCATTTGCAAGCTGAAGAAATATTTATTTGGGAATAAAACAAAAGAAAGTGTCACCCTCGATTGCATCAATTTCGCTACTAGAGGACTATTAGCCAATTAAAATGCAGGATTTACATTAGACCACTAGTTGGGTGATACTAATCTTGGATGTTCCCCAGTTTTAGCCGGGGAATATTCGGTCATGTGACACGTTTAGACCAATCGTGTGCGAGCAAATGTATTTGATGGTTTGTAAAAGGGTATAAGGGCATAAGGGGTATAAAGGTATAAGGATATAAGGTGTATGAGGGTATAAGAGTATCAGGGTATAAGGGTATAAGGGTGACTTTTTGCGGTTTTTGGTTTGACCTCTTCGCAGATTTGTTCT